TTAAAACTCTGCATGTCGATACTGTAGATTAATATTGAGGAACTTGATGTTTCAGTGTTGAGAGCTGTAAACAGTCATTTCTCAATTGTCCTGGCTGAAAGAGGAAATAAGATTGTCCAACAAGTGCTAGAAGGCTGTTACTGTCAAACCATCCAATGGTGCTCTTAGTTACAATGGCTTTTTCTGGTATTGAGCCATTGTTAAAACTCTGCATGTCGATACTGTAGATTAATATTGAGGAACTTGATGTTTCAGTGTTGAGAGCTGTAAACAGTCATTTCTCAATTGTCCTGGCTGAAAGAGGAAATAAGATTGTCCAACAAGTGCTAGAAGGCTGTTACTGTCAAACCATCCAATGGTGCTCTTAGTTACAATGGCTTTTTCTGGTATTGAGCCATTGCACACCTATGTACATTTGAAACTGGCTTCTTAAGCATGATAAATAAAGCAATAGATGGAAAGGAATCACTTTTAGAGTTGATAGTCTGACTAAACTTCAATCAGATTCTGACTGAGGGTTGCCACCAGTGTTCCCTGTGAAGCTGTGCACTTTGCAGGCACTCAGACTCAAATGCCACCCAGCTGATGCCCAGAGCTAGGTTTTTTTGTTTTTACTGGTGGTGGTGTACATTCACACATGCCTCAGGCAATAGGGGAAAAAATGACTCCAGCATGGATGGAAAAGATATTTCCAGAAAGTTGGACAAAACCTAAATTTGTTACTAATCTCTTAACATCCTTAAGTTGTTTTGGTTTTTTTTATCGGATAAACTTAAACAACAAATAGTCTGGTAGCACTTTAAGACTAACAAAACATGTAGATGGTGGAATGAGCTTTCGTGGGTTCAGCCCACTTGTTTAGATGACCAGAGTGGTGTATGTCCAGAACCAAAATAAAAGGGGGGGGACAAAAGGGAGCAGTGGGTATATAAATATCAAAGGGATAACCGAGCTGGTATGTAACAGGGAAAATTATAAGCACCTAAAAACTGGATAGTTAAAAGAAGCAGATAAGGACCATTTGAGCAGTTACTCAACTATTCTATAGTCCCTGGGGACAGGGCTGGCAGCTAGTTCAATCCAGCTGGGCTCCCAAGTAGACAACACTCTGTGCTGTTGCCTGTGCGAGGTGGAAGCTGGTCCATGAGGGAAGCCAGTTTAAAAACCAGCTCCCCTCACAGACTGGCTGCCTGTTGCCCTTCGCTATTGCCTCTGATACAGAGGCAGCAGTGCAGGGCAGTAGCAGCCACTGTCTGGGAGCAGGAGTGTGAGCTCCTGGACCCAGTGTGAGCTGCAACTGAGCAGGGTTGCCTGCTTGACTCCTAATATACTTTAAATGAAGAGCTGGTAGGTCCCAGACCTGGTACAAGCTAGGATTTGGCTGTGCTGCTGGCCAGCCTACTAAAAAATTTACTGGCAAGGTGGGGGAAATGTGTGTAGTCTATAGCATTAACTGATCAGTCTTTGCTCATAGCATTAATCAATAAGCAAAAGCTTATCAGTCAATCAACTACACCAGTGTTTCCCAAATGGTTTTCCGTTCCACAAAGTAAGAATGAGGGTTCTGCAAGCAAATTCCATTACAATAACATTTTATGATTTAAAAAATAAATATTATGTGATTTGTGTCTTTAAATATGTGCAATTAAACTAAATGTTGATCTTGTGACCTTGTTTAGCATTTTGTTTATTATTATCCTTACTTATTTGTGGTCTACTTTTTCAGCTCCATATATTAGACTGTTATTCGGAGTTCTGCAAAATTCTTTCAAGTTTTTAAAAGGGTTCTGTGGCCCAATAAAATTGGGAAACACTGGACTATCCTATTACATCCCTGTATTCTGCAGTTTGCCTTCGATGCTTTTCTGCCATTCAATAAATTCAAATTGACAGTCTTGAAAAGCAGCCCAAATTCAGAACCAGAACAGGTTTTTACTAAACTTTTGATATTTTTGAGACTTGTGTGCAAAAGTCTTAAGATGCAGTGATCAAAGGGTCAACTCAGACCATTGCAAATTCAGTTACCAGAATGGTCACGTGAGTGTACATGTTGGATTAAAAGCCAGTCTGCTGCTGTGCACGCAACTGTTTCAGGAAAGTTTATAATGGGTTTATTACAAATATTGTAACTGTAAAGAGTTAAGTTTTCAGTTGACTTCGGGAAATGCTATTAATAGAATCAGTGCGTACCTGGATGTTTATATAACTAAATCTACTTAAAAATAACAATACATTTTTCATGCTGAAAAGTAAAACCTGTACTTTCAGACCACTAGGTACGTTTTCCCTGAATCCAAAATCAGTAATCTCTGTTCCTTAGGAAGCTTTTTACTTTAAGACTTTCTGGCGTAGGAAGAACTCAGGAAATGACCAGTAGCTAGAATTTTCTAATGAAATGTAAATGTCCTTTTCTAGGACAAGGATTTAACAGTAGCAGAAATACAAGTATTTTAATGTTGGTTTTTATCTCGGCTTTCTAACAAACATGAATATCCCTGTTAAATAACCACTAGTGCTATAAAGGTGTTGTACTATGCAGAAGGAAGCAGGGATACTTTTACAGCTGGTCTCTGACTTACGAACGCATTGACTCATGACTATTCACACTTACGACCAACCTCCCATTAACCCCATTACAGCTGGTCCCCGACTTATGAATGTACCATCCGCACTTACAAACAGCACGGCTGTATGTAAAACCATGTATTTCCGACTTGCAAACAAATCCAGTTATGTCCAGGTGTTTGGAACGTAACCCATTTGTAAATCGGGGACCAGCTGTATATTCTTTGAGCTCACCATATTGCCTTCCAACTGTCTTCCGTTCAAGAGTGTCCTTTATAGCGGCCTGTAAGACTAAAGCTCACAATCTCCAGAACTTTTTATTATGGGTTAATGTTCTGTTTTGACTTTTTTTTTTTTAAACAGGAGATTAGACTTGATTTCCTTTTGATCAACTCCTTTTTAAAGCAACTTCTCATCATGGCTGAACTATCAGCTGAAGAAATTCAACTGAGGGCCCACCAAGTCACTGATGAGGTAAACTTTTTCCCCCAGGCTTTATTAAAGGACCCTAATATACAAGTTATCCTAGTATAGTATAAACTTATCAAGAATAAGATGGTAGGAGGGGCCTAAGAGGAAGACTGCACGGGCAAAGCTGAATATCACAAACTTCTGTATTTCTACCTGGATTTCAACTTGTAGCTGCTGGAGTCAAGTGGCTAGTGTGTGGGGGGTTTTTTTTTTAAAATTTCATTCCTCAATTGGCACCTACCTGATTTAAGAAGTACTAAGCACCTGTAACACCCATTGAAATCAATCTTTGGGGTGAAATTGGCACCTACCTGATGTAAGAAGTGCTAGGCACCTGTAACACCCATTGAAATCAATCTTTGGGGTGCTTGCTATCTTAAAATCAGACAGGTACTCAAATTTAGGGTCTTGAAGCTATACTCCTACATTTTTTTTAAAATAACTTTTTGTCCTAGCAATAGTAGATGTTGATGAGATACCATGGAGCAGTTTACTCTAAGGAGCACTTAAAGTATCAACTTTATTTTGTTGACCTTAATGTGTACTGAGAAATATAAATAAAAGCTTGGTGGCTAATGGAAAAGAATTCTAGATTATTGTAACTCTATATAGGTTTAGATTGTTGCTTATCCTGTTTTTCCAGGTTTCGGAAGTTTTGCGCACTAGCTTTTATACTGGAGTCTTTGTGTTTGAAAGTCTTATTGATTTTCTTACAAAAAAGTGCTTAACTATTGTTAAATCTTCTCTCCTTCTAGTCTTTGGAAAGCACAAGGCGGATTCTTGGCTTGGCTGTTGAGGTAAGGAAGAGTTTACTGTGAGCTTCTAACACTGTCTCACTACATTGGTGCACTTCCAAAAACTTAGTAAAGTGACTATACACAGAAGACTGTGAAACTGAACATTTGACAACATATGGTCACGGTAAACAAACTGGAAAATAGAAATCTTTCTATTACAAAATTATTCAAACTGAAAGATCAATGGTAATTGAACAAGTTCAGCGACCAGAGTTAAAACGTGAAGTAATGTTACAGATGCAGGACAACGTAGACGCACCCAATTCCATCCTATGCTAACATATCAGTCTCTATCTGACCATCCGTAATAATTCCATCTGAAGTCATGAAGAAACAGAACATCTGTTCCCAAAATTGAAACTTGTATCCAACCGTGACTGCTTGGTAACCAGCCCAATTACCTGAGGAGTAGGGTGTTGGGTCTTTATGGAATGTCTTCTTCTTTGCTTCTATGCCCAAAGGGAAGGTCTGACCTGCCTTGGAACTTCTCATCCTCACTGACTGCTGTCAGCCAGGAGTTGACTAGGTATTGGAAATTATCAGCAAACTGAGGCCTCTTTAGCAAAGGCTGTTAAGGAGGCATCTCGTGTATTCTCCTTGAATTAATAATATTTCTTTCTCTTCTGAGAAATATACCAAAATATCATAACACAGAAGCTGAGTCTATATCTGCAAAAGCAATGACAAGTCCCATGGCATCTTAAAGACTGATATATTTGGGCATAAGCTTTCATGGGTAAAATCCACTTAGTCAGATGCATTGGAGTGGAAATTAGAGGCATGGATATATATGTACTAGTATGTCATTTTCTCTTAATAACCTTTGTATAAGATTCATTGCAAACATATAACAGTGGTTGCAACAGTTATCTACATGGTCATATTTTAATCAGATGTCACAACAAAATAGAAAAAAAAATAGACAACAAAAGGATTGGGATGCTCCAGTCTAACATATAGGTGCCACTATGATCGTAAAAATGCCCACTTAACTGTCACCTAATTTGGCAGGCATCTAAAATCCTAGATGGGATTTTATATTTCACGTGGTGGGATTATGAGTCTGCCAGTGGGCGTGCGCGCAGCTAATTTAGTCTAGGCATGGAAGTGCCTATCTCAAACCCAAGCCTCAGTGGGTTCTTCGAACTGGGCATTCCCTCTGTCTATCTCACCGATGTGGCCCATACTGTGGTATAAATGCATGAAATGAGGAGGAGGTTGGTCTGCTTGCTGCTATAGAATCATAGAACTATAGAGCTGGACATCACAAGGTAATCAAGTCCAGCCCCCTGCTCTAGGCAGGACCAATCCCAACTAAATCAACCCAGCCAGGGCTTTGTCAAGCCGAGACTTAAACACCTCTAGGGATGGAAACACCACTACTTCCCTATGTAACCTATTCCAGTGCTTCACCACCCTCCTAGTGAAATAAATTTTCCTAATATCCATCCCGGACCTCTCCCACCACAACTTGGGACCATTGCTCCTTGTTCTGCCATCTGTCACTTCCGAGAACAGCCTTTCTCCATCTTCTTTGGAACCTCCCTTCAGGAAGTTGAAAGCTGCTATCAAATCCCCTCTCGCTCTTCACTTCTGCAGACTAAACAGACGCAACTCCCTCATCCTCTCCTTATAGGTCATATGCTCCAGCCCCCTAATCATTTTGGTTGCCCTCCGCTAGACCCTCTCCAGTGTGTCCACATTCTTTTTGTAGCGGGGGGTCCAGAACTGGACACAATACATCTTGTTTAACCCTTAAGCACTCAATGGGGCCGACTAACATTCCCATTTTCCTGCACTAGTACATGAATCCCATTAAAGTGTCAAACAAGGGAATTTGGATCTTTATTCAGCTCACTTCTTTCAGTAGTGGAAGGAGTGAGTGGGAGAGACAGGAGAGATTTAGGAGTGGCTGTAGAGACAAATTATTATGTATTTGGAAAAATCAATGTTTTGAACCAATTGGATGCTTGTTTGATGAATTGCTACCTAGATTTCATACTAGTTACTTTCCATTATGTTTTGTAATATTTTGCTGTTTGCTTTAATAAAACATATTGTCATCACAAAGTCTCAAGATGATGTAAATGCAAGCATACAGAGAGAATATTACAACGTCAAAATGAAGCAAAGTCATTGCAGTTCTATGTATATGCTGTTATACTGTCAAGATAAAATGAAAAGAAGCCCCATTGATCAATAAAGCAAAGTATCAAAAGTGATTGGATAAAATGCAAACAATGTATTATCTCTTATGAAGTTTTACAAATATTAAATGGAAAAAAACAATCGACCATTTTGATGCTATAGTAACTGGAAAAACTAGAATTAGCAGATGTGTGTGCCTTGGGAGAGGAGGGCTTTAAAAATATCCCAGTTATAGGGATACCAAATCTAGAGATAAATTACAGATTTGGTTATCTAATGAGAAACTCTTACACAACTGTTCTTAGTAGTGAGTTGCAGCTGAATCTCCTGCTCCTCCATGTTGTCTGACAGGTCAGCAATAGTTGGTGTCTTGTGACCAGAGTTAAAACGTGACGTAATGTTACAGATGCAGGACAACATAGACGCACCCAATTCCATTCTATGTTAACATATCCGTCTCTATCTGACCATCCGTAATAATTCCATCTGAAGTCATGAAGAAACAGAACATCTGTTCCCAAAATTGAAACTTGTATCCAACCGTGACTGCTTGGTAACCAGCCCAATTACCTGAGTAGGAGGGTGTTGGGTCTTTATGGAATGTCTTCTTTGCTTCTATGCCCAAAGGGAAGGTCTGACCTGCCTTGGAACTTCTCATCCTCACTGACTGCTGTCAGCCAGGAGTTGACTAGGTATTGGAAATTATCAGCAAACTGAGGCCTCTTTAGCAAAGGCTGTTAAGGAGGCATCTCGTGTATTCTCCTTGAATTAATAATATTTCTTTCTCTTCTGAGAAATATACCAAAATATCATAACACAGAAGCTGAGTCTATATCTGCAAAAGCAATGACAAGTCCCATGGCATCTTAAAGACTGATATATTTGGGCATAAGCTTTCATGGGTAAAATCCACTTAGTCAGATGCATTGGAGTGGAAATTAGAGGCATGGATATATATGTACTAGTATGTCGATCAGTGAATTGGCCCTTGTTAACAGTCAGGGTGGATGTGACTCACTTAGCAGCAGCAGACTTGAGCCTTTAGTTTCTCTTAGAGTTGAGGACCACTAAAGATGGCAAAGACGCATCTTGAAAAGGAAGATTTGATTGAGACTGTTTTGAATGCCTTGTGCTGTGGCACATAGTGCTTAGAAACAGAGAGAGAGATAAGACTTATGGGGTACTGCATCATCTAATTCTAATTTAAGAAAACTTTCCCTCCTTGGAATCTCCAGTAGGGACATCCATTATATATTTTAGAAAGTTTGAGTGCGTGTCCATTGGTTTAAGAACTGTTCCTAAACAGTAAAAACTAGGATCACCAAATTTGGTATGCCATTTCCTCCTCATAACTTAAGCAAAGTCAGGATTTGGTTGTGCTCTAGGGCAATAGGATATTCGTGGAATGGGTTTGTTTGGTTTGTTTCATATGAAAAATAAAGCATGTGATAGCAGGAACAGTTACACTCATGAATTACCACAGGGGGCAGCAAACGCCCCAGATCCAGGGAGCAGCTACTGGCCAGCAGTGCCCTATGCCCATGGCCAGCCTCAGAGAAACCAGCAAGTGGGCCATGCGGCCCACCTTGCCTCGGGACAGCCCTACACCTGGGCAAATCGCCCTGCCCATGGCCAGTCTCAGAGAAACCAGCAAGTGGGCCATACGGCCCACCTTGCCTCAGGACAGCCCTACACCTGGGCAAATCGCCACAATTCAGAGGACCCTTTAGAGACAAACTGCATTGGAGTAGAAAGTTCTGCTGTTGTAGGCTAATAGTTAGACCCATGGGTCTTTCTACTGATATGGCCACTGCCCCTTTGAAAATTTGAGCATGTCAGTCTAAGACTAAGCTTTGGAATTCCCACACCCAGACAGAGCTGTTCTTGACTTTGGTCTTAAATTGAATAAAATAGCTGCCTTCCTTCAGAGGGCAAATGGCTGTTCTGGTGTGGGGTCCAGAGACTGGGCTCAGCTTTCTCCAGGAGAGTGTCATAACACTTTCCTTGCCTATGCTGGCCATAATGTGGGAAGGCCTTACCCAGTGGGTATTGACTTACATGGTGAGGTTGGGAATTGATTTGTCCATGCTAAGTTTGATCTGGTTTTGGATATCTGAATATAGCAAATCACTTGAAATGACTTCCTTTATTGTATAACTCAAAAGGAATTCCTACCAACTTTTTTTAATTGCTTCTTCACTTCAACTAAGCAAAACTGTCAGTCCAATAAAGATTATTATCCTTCTTTTTAGCAACTTCTCCTGTTCTGAGAGCCATTTCAACCAGAGCTGCATTTTGTCATATGTAGCAACTCTTACTTTATCCTATCAAATGTGAAACTAAGAGCTGGTGTACATTACCACTTCTGAGTGATGCAAGTTGCATCAACTTGCGGGCTGTTTTTACACTCTGCTCTAAGCAGTGCAAGTTGCCAGAACTTTAAGTGGTGTCTTCACCCACGTTTTATTGGCAGGAGATACTTTCTAGCCAACATAGTTTGCATATCTCATGAGAGAGCTGATGAGAGAGTGCTTTCCTGTTGACATTTTGCTGTGCTGCTATAGCATATCTGGGGAACTTGGCCTTAGTTGTGTTCTGCTGTGCAAGCTTTCATTATTCCAGTATTGTGGTGCAGAGAGCTGTTATGCTCGAGTACACAGTTAAAATCTCCAGTGCTGAAAACAGTGTTTCTGCAAGTGTCCTTTTTTCTTTTTACAGTCCCAGGATGCAGGAATCAAGACTATCACCATGTTGGATGAACAAGGAGGTGAATTTTACCTGTGTGCAAAGCAGGATTGTGAATATTAAGTCTTAATAGTCTGCAGTAATATCTACTTATGTTTGTCCTAACTTTTCAGTGTTTGGCCTCAGTAACTTATGATATAGCCAGGGTTCGACAATCTATGTAATCTACTCACCCGTGGCGAGTAGATTACAATCCAGAAGAGCCAGGTTTGGACGATCTGCGCATGCGCAGATTGCCGGACAGCGCAGCTGGCGAGCCGGGCTTGCCGTGGCTCAGCGAGCCCTGAATATAGCAATGAGATTGCCTCACTAGTCAGATGGTCTTATTTGTGCGAGTATAGTATTTTAAGGTTTAGCTCTGGTTCATGTCACCACAGTTTGAAGGGGGTGAAATTAACTGTTCCATTGAGTCTCTTCCCCTGCCAAAATAATGGTTAAGGTGTTAGCAGCTGCTTTTTAAAGTAAATAGCCAGACAACTTAACTATAGCACTGACATGAGAAAAGCTTTTAATTTAGGATTCTTGGAAACTAATAACAAATTCTCATGCAGCATATGCCATTGTTTGCTTTTGCTACAAAAAGTTTCTTTAGGGGAAGAGTAGCGTCAGTATACAGATCTAATTTGTAGCATAGATGTTAATACTTCAGAAGTTTCCCTCTGAATAGGCATTATTAAACTTTTTGTAACTTTCTTTTTTTAAGAACAACTAACCCGTATAGAAGGAGGAATGGACCAAATAAACAAGGACATGAGAGAAGCTGAAAAGACCTTGACCGAGCTCAACAAGTGTTGTGGTCTCTGTGTCTGTCCCTGCAACAGGTCAGTTAACCAATCCAGACTCAAGTTTGAATTTCTGGGATTCCCCCTAAGAGGACCTTATTGAGGGGAACATTCAAAGGTAAAATAACCAAAGAAAACGTTTTTTTACTTGGAGTAAAAACTGCACTGAGTCAACTTTTCCTGAGTGCTTTTTAAGAAAATTGATTAGTGTGCAGAGGAGTGTACCATTTAGCTAAAACGTACTCACAGTAACCACCTTCTAGATTTGTAAATAATGGGACCCCAACCTACCCAAAACTTATACGGTAATGCAATATCAATGTTTTAAAAACTTCAGTTTTTTTCTTCTTCTTGGTAATAAGGATCCATTAGAATCTCTGAAATTTTCTTCCCAAATGCTTCTCTGTTGTGAGGACCTTCTCATTAAGACAAATATGTGCTGGGCTACTTGGTGATTTTCTTGGCATGGGGTGAGAGGCAGGTGAATATATTACAGCATTTCCTTTTGGAAAGGATTAACGAGATCTAGCATTTAGTTGTACTTCTATATTGATATATATGGGGAAGGAATTAGAATAGTCCTGAGTCTTACTAGCTCTAAAAATCTTACATCTTGCAGTTTCTGTTTTGCAAGATTTTGTCATAGTGCCTTAATTGTAATAAGTGTCTCTACTGGCCTCCCAGAAAATGTAACTGTTAATGCTTTTAGATCCTGATGGATAGGATTCCTGATGCTTTTAGATCCTGATGGATAGGTCTAGCTTCAAACATTTATAGGAAAAAGAGCAGAGAAAGATATTGTTGCCTTAATATTAGCTAGGCAGCTTCATAGAGCTATGTCTGTCCCCTCTAAGCTGCTTTAAAGTATGAAATGGATGTGTGAGGATCTTGGGGGAAAGCGGGGGGAGCCAAACAGGCATCTTTTAATTATTTTTTTTAAAGGGTGGCAGGGGAAGGGAAGAGGTCTTTGTATGTATACTTGCTAAAGTGTATTTGTGTTTGTAAATTTTTATTGTGGGTTCTGTTAGTGGACAAGAGAGATTCTAGATCTCCTAAGGATTGAAGGGGAAGCAAGATGGTTAAACTGTTCAGGAGACCCTCATGTTTCGCAGAATCACTATTCACAATTCTGCATATTCATGGGTGTCTCCTCCTGGCCAGGGGGAGAAGTGGCAAGGGCCGGGGGCCACAGGGACCTCACCGTAGCTCAAGGCCCCCATGTTTCCTGGCAGCTGCAGTGAGTTTCCCATGGTGAGTTCAGGAGCCACAGTTTCACCATTCACATGTGGGAACACATGCACCACAAATAGTGAGGGTTTCCTGTACATTCAAGTCCCTCTTTCACAAGGGTTTCAGTCAGAACAACATAATGCTGTGTGATCATCCTGAATTGAAATAGCATGAGGTTTTCAGGACTAAAAGTTCAGACTTGTTTCAACAGTTTGACAAGTAAATAGCTGTGATCTGCCTGGCCTGTAGCCAACAAAAGTTACACCAATTACCAGCATTGGTTTGGTTGTACCAAATAACTCCTCACTCTTATTAGCATGACTTGCATCCTTTCAATATCTCTGATTACAATCCTGTCAGGTTTCTGAATTTGTCACATAGCCCCACGTCCAGTAAGCGATTTGCATTGGGCACAAAAACACGCTGATCTAGTGCAATTGATTCTGAGCAGATCATCTATAATACCACACTCTGTATTTGTGATGGAGTTTGTGACACTTCCAAATATACTAATTCTAGTAGGTGACTTTCCCGAGCCATCTCACTGTGAAGCTTAGGAGTGTCTGAATTATATTAAAGAAGCTGTGATGAGGTCAAGAGGAGGAAAAATGTCCTGAATGGTTCTGAAAAATCCTAACTGTCCTCACTCCAATGTCCCATTTGAGTGATATCTTGCATAAATGCCCAGCAGTCTTCCATATGAATGCTGAATTAAAATGCCAGAGTGACACAACTAAATGTTTGTTTTTCCCCAATTTTCAGATTTAGATTACTTACAGATGGTTCTGAAAGCAAGGGACTTCAGCTGAAACTGTCACTAACTGCTTGCTTGTTTGATGGTGTTTTCCTTTTTTCTTTCTCCATTCTCTCCTAACATACCCAACTCCCTCTTAATTAATAAAAATGAAGACTAACTACTAGAAGCTGGTGAAAAGCGGACTTTAGGACAAGGTCAATCTTATGACACAGCCTGTACTGTTAACCATCTGTCTAAGGTGATGTTCTAATTGGGTATGTGTTTGCATGGGCATGCAGTTTGCATGCAAGACATGTTGTGACTGTGGTGGTCCAGTGTAATGTTGGTGTCTGTCTATATATAATCAAATGGATTAGGCATGGGAGCCTATTAATTCTAACAAAGATGCTTTAGCAGTGGCCATAAATACCAAGAATGTAACAATTGATGTTTAGAATGTTGACTATATTGGCTTCCTTTTCAAGAATGTCGATCCCCTCCCCCATTAGACAAATCTGGAGTAATACTTTGCAAGACTTCTTTAAAAAATAGCTCGAGGACCATTGTGCTGGTATTTCAGTGACTCTCACTCAAACTTGTAGAAATAAAAAGCAGATTTTTCGTCCTATCCAGCACCATAAAACTCAACCTGAGGTGTAAAAGCAAAGTTGCTTGTTCAGGCTGACTTACGTATCATTCTGTGTGGCAAATTCTAACTTCTCTTACAGCTGCGCCACTGCATTGAAGAACTGCAATCTTCAATAGTCCTGCACAAAATCTGAACATAATTGGTATGCTCTCCCAAAATTGTTTTTGTGCTAACGAATACAGGCAGTCCCTGGGTTACGTACAAGATAGGGACTGTAGGTTTGTTCTTAAGTTGAATTTGTATGTAAGTCGGAACTGGTACATATTGTAGGGGAAACTCCAGCCAAACATTTCTCCAGAGCTCAGTTTTATTCTCCCACACCTCACTTCCCTCAGTCCTTCATTCTCAAGCTGAGGTGTCTGCTGAGAGAAGCCGCTCCGCGTTTCCCTGGTCTGCTGGGGGTGCTCTGCTGGAGGGGGCGCTAGCTTTGCGTCTCCCTGGTCTGCTGGGGGGAAGCAGCTAGTGCGGGGTTGCCTCACCCCGTTTGTAAGTAGGGATCCGATGTAAGTCGGATCCATGTAACCCGGGGACTGCCTGTATAAAGAAGTAGAAATGTATTTTCTTACTAAAACAAGTTCCTTTTGAGTCTGAATAAACCAAAGGGGTCAGATATGAGTAAATCCCATACCAGAAAGGTGACTGAATGCACCAGTTTATTTGTGCAGCACTGTCGATGGCATTACATGGGTTCTGACCAAAGATTAAAGCATTCTTCTAAGACAGAGTTGTCTGTCCTTTTCCCAGAAAAAGAATGTGAAGTTGCCTGGTTTTTTATTTGGTTTTTAAGCTAAAGTTTGGGAAGAGACTCTAAAAGCACCAGTCTTCATCTGATGCCATTATCATTTTTTCTTCTCAGGACACATTTCTTTTACGTCAACATTTTGAAGAGGTGCTGCAAAAATTTAAGCTTTAAGTTAGTGTTCTCAAAAGGTGCCACCGTGACAGAATAGGTATAGTGCCACTGAAAGCAACTCCATACTGCCCTGTAAATGGAGCGACCCAATGGAGAAATGTGGAGAAGAGGGTAGTTTAGGCTTAATGGCTAATTTAACCCTTGGCCTCACTTGTGAGACAACTCCCTCTCCCCTCCCCAACCACCACACATACTATGCTTATTTGTTGGTAGTTCAAATACCTCCCTAGTAAAAATTTTTAAAAATTATATCTGGCTCAAATTTCAGAAACCTTTCTAACTTGGCAATAGATCTATTTGCCTTTTTAACTTGTATTTCTGCTGATGTAAGAGACCTGGTTTATAAAAGGGCTTTTGCCATATCAGGCTATCATCTTTGCTTTTTCTTGGATCATGCACTACAGTCATAATGGTAAGTATGACTTAAGTTATTCTGTGTTTAACACATCAATCCATTGCTGGAAAAATAAATGAAGAATCAAGGCAAGATGAAATCAGAAAATCCATTTCTTAAATACATCTGAAATGTTAGTCACATGCATTGTTTCCCAAGGTTACTTCAATGTACCTTTTGCTCATCCTCTGTTTAGGATTGTGTCCAAAACAAAATTATTATTCTACCCTGTTCATCTTGCATTTAATGATTCAAAGAGACAAATCCGATTTTTAAAAAAGGTTTAAGGCCTACTCTAAATACAGCTTTTTGTACCAGTGTAATCCTTTTGATTTCGTGTAACTTTTTCCTCTCTGTGGTGGTATAGCTTCTATTGTGAATGAAGCTATACTTTGACAAAGATGCTTATACTGGTGTAACTTATTTCCAAACAAAAAGGGGGATATGCTATTCTGAGGACTATTCAAATTAGGATGGTGGTAGCATTTTGTACTGCTTAACTATACCAGTATAATTAAAGTGGTACAATATTTGTGTGTAGACAAGGTAGGCCTTGTCTTATGCTGCAGATTTTTAGTGACAAAAGTTATGATGTTAATAATTATACCACTGTTGTATGTCCACTCTATGCCCCTTGTGTTGGCTAAGTGCATCCACATAGCTGCTTTTGCATCAGCCCAAAGATCATGCACTGTGGGTAGCTATCTCACTAAGCAATTGGCCACGGGGTGCTTTGGGAAGGGTTTGCAAGCTTGTGGCTGGGGAGGGGAGGCAGTGCCTAACACCCTTTGACCCCACCCCTGTGCCTTTTGCCCTTTGACCCCCTACAACCCATTCCAACACCCTCTTGTGCCGTGACCCCACCACACTCTCACCCAACACCCTTTTGACCCCACCCCATCCCTGTACTCCCCAGAGTGAGGCTGCCCCTCTCTAGGGAGCATGGCAATTACTGTTGTGTGGGCAGGAGGAGCGGCTGTTGGCAGTATGTGTGCTCTCTCTCTCTCTCCCCAAGCGCATCTTGCCTGTGGGAAGAGGCGCGGGAGAGGGGGGAGCCCGAAGCCCTGGCTGGGCTGCCATCTTACCTTCCTCCCTCCTCTCCCCTCCATCCCCTGCAGTATCTCCTGCTATTGCCTCTGCTCCAGGGCTGCCGGCAGGCAAAATCAGCTGCCAGAGCTGAAGCCAGCTGCTGTGTGACGGCTCAGGGGACTAGGGTGAGCCCTGGCCTCCAGAGCTGCCATGAATGGCCAGCTTCAGCTGGCCACCCCAGCCTGGCAGTCAACAGTTCGTGCACCAACACTGGTCTATCGACCGGCAGTTGGAAATAACTAATCTAGAAGATAAGATGGTAATGATTAAAGGTCTAGCAAAATGATGTGTGAGGAAAGATTGAAAAAACTGAGTTTGTTTAGAGCAGAGAAGACTGAGGAGGGGGACCATAAGTCTTGACGTACATAAAAGGTTGTTGTAAGGAGGAGAGTGGAGAAATTGTTCTTCTTAACCTCTGATGACTGGTTAAGAAACAATGGGTTTAAATTGCAGCAAGAGGTCTTTTTAGGTTGGACTTTGGAAGAAACTTTTCAGCTGTCAGGATTGAGCATTGCAATAAATTGCCTAGGGAGATTGTGGAAACCTTTTTTCTGAAGTTTTGAAGAACAAGTAAGACACATGCCTTTCAGGAATGGTCTAGTTATTCCTTAGCTGTGCCTTGAGTGCAGGGGATTGGACTAGATGACCTATTGGGGTCCCTTCCAGTCCTAACTTCTATGAAATCTCTTGGGTGTATTTGAAAATGTCACTCTGAAAAGATATAATTCTCTCTCCTTCTCCGACAACCTTGAAAAAAATAATCTGTTTTGTCTTTTATTTTTTGTGTGTGCATTGATTTAGTGCATATTTATTTTTATCTCTTGGGTAGGACAAAGAACTTTGAGTCTGGTAAGTCATACAAGTCAACCTGGAGTGATGGTGCAGAGAATTCAGCAGACCGTATTGTATCCAAGCAGCCAGGACGTTTAGTAAATAACCAACAGCCACAGACCACTGGAGGAGCAAGTGGGGGATATATTGTACGGTATGTTGTCAATCTTGCCCCAAACATGTATTTTAAGATACTGGTTTCTTTTTCCCCCAATGCATTCAACTCTAATGGCTAGATATTAAATACTTGCTGTCAATTGGCAAGGAAGCTCTTTGGTGAATTCCTTTCACCTGGAGACTTATATCTGTAGTTTCATTCCTTATAGCATGGCATGCTGTGTGTAATGACTACAAATGATTGGCCTCTGGATGCAGATGAGCTTTTTGCTCAAATTACTGAGGTACATGTTGCATTAGGATTTGCTTGGTTATATAGTGATAAAGGCCTCTGACACACTGAATCCCCCTCTCATATAGTAGAGAACTTGCAAATGGTCTTTTTGTTGTGAATTGAGGCCATTTTAATAAAACCACTTTGTCCTATTTCTTTCAGCAAAAGATATTTAGACAAATTGTGGCAGGTTACCTGCTTGAGCAAAAGGTCAACTGAAGCAGCTCCCTCTAAAAATGTGGGTGTGGGTTGTGATAAGACGTTTTAGTGGGAGATTATTGAACAAAATTTTGGCAGTAGGGAAGCAACTTTGTGGGTCTTGAAGAGTATTCTTCTGCCACTTTCAACAGGATAACAAACGATGCCCGAGAGGATGAGATGGAAGAAAATCTCACTCAGGTGGGAAATATCCTGGGGAACTTGAAAAACATGGCTTTGGATATGGGCAATGAGATTGATACACAAAACAAGCAAATAGACCGGATAAATGAGAAGGTAAGAGCCAAATAATTCTGTTGCCATCTCCAGTATATAGTGACAGAAGAGAAGCATTAAGGAATAGTTTTAAATGAATTGGTTCATTGTACAGCATTTGTACTGATCAAGTGCATCAGGAGTTTCTATCATATAAACTTTTTACTACTATATTCAATATCTCACAATGATGTGAGCATAAAAGTATGTCCTTGGTATCCTCTGACTACTCAGTTCAGTAGCACAGGCCCTGGAAAGCTTGTGGATCAGTGTTCCAATTGATGCATCACAAGATTGGGTACTGGTGGAGTCTGTTGTAGGCTGATTTAGTGGTCTATAGCAGGACCTTTTTCAACATCTATTTACAGTGTGTGTTTATAGGAGGAGGGGTAACTGTTACTATAGAATTCTATCTGGGGGACAGATGCAGGAGTTTTTTATACTGTCACTAGGAAAACCTCCTGTGAGTTGCTAAAACTCATCTACAGCTCTTAACAAAGTATTTACACCCTGTTAAAAGTAATTTTTATATTAGATCTGATTCTGATAGATGAAGATGAATTGAGCACCTACTTAAAATTAGTATTTGATTAGTATAAGTGATTGTGGGAATAATAACTGTAGCAGGATGCTGGTACAAGATCACCTGATTAGCCCTTGCCCTGTAAACTTGGGTCAAGGAGAAAAGATTGGGGCTGATGAAAAGGCTTGATGCTGGCCTGAGGATTGGGATAGCCTGACAAGCCATGGGCTATATAGGCTGAGAGAGAACCAAAAGTTGGGGCAAGCAGTGAGGAAGAGGTCAGTCGTGGAGGGAGCTGGAGGTCGCCTAGCTGAGGACTTTTCTTTTTTATAGAGAAGAACCCTGTAAAGACTGTGTATAGTTGGGCACTGGTGGTGGGACACATTTGGATGAATAAAGACATGGGTGTTACACAACTCTGAGGTGTCTCTGAGCCTGATTTGAGAGGGCAACCAGTGCCCAAGAATGGGGAGTGGGAGGTGGGGAGCTGGTCATGCACCCCATTACAATTGCATTTACGTGCAAACTGAATACATTCCTGACAGTAATATTTGTTTCCATTTTAAGGGCCAGTTTCCAAAAGCTAAAACCATTCTCAGCAAAGCTTGTTTAATTTTTTTCTTCTAATGTGAGTGGTTATTGGGAGTTGAGTACCTCTTCTAGTTGCCAAAATACTGTAATCACTAAAAATGCTTTCATTCCTTGTAAAGCTATGCTGGTTATGCAGAAAAGAAGAGCAGTATTCTGTGAATATATTTAGCCTTTTCATGATTTTATCCACCAAAGAGCTAAATGATTACAGCATAATTAAATACCAGTCAACATTTGTTTTATGGATACTACTATATAGCTCTTGTTAAATACAACAATTATTTATTTGACTAAGGTAACGGACATAATTATATTTGGGCTTTCCTAGGGCATTTGATTAAACCTGACAATATTAAAAACCTATTAGTGCTATGTATCATCAAAGCAGTGCACATAAAGTGGATTAAAAAGTAGCTGATTAATTTCCTATGTATAACTGATATGAGATACTAGATAATCATTCCAGTGATGGTGTAAATTCCTACAAGGATCTGTTCTTGACCCAATGCTATCTGATATTTTTTATCAATGATCTGAGAAACCCAAAACTAGTCCTGGTGAAATGGAAATGACAGATCAGCTCTACAGAGTAGTCTGGGTTGCACCATAAACTGAATTTACTTGACATGTATATCTAAGAACCAAGAACATAGATCATACATGAGACAGTGACTTAAAGGCTAACAGATCATCCACAATGGAATGTGATCCACAAGTGTATTGTGGTAACTGAGGCTGTGTGTGACTGTCAGAAGAAATGTCCTCCCACAAAATAAACTGTTTCCTTGATGCTTTGTACTGTTCAGATGAGGTATTGATAGGTCTGTGATTCATCCACATTTAGATTGGTAGGCAAGTTCACAGCTATCAATAAACAGAGCTAAGGATAAGTTATCACGATCCTCCATGTAAGATGCAAGGAGTTTGCTACAATTTTGAGTCATGAGTGGCAGGTTGGTTTTTTTTGGGGGGGAGGGGGGAACTAGACTTGAAAATTGTTTTCTGGGGAGGTATTGAGGGCAGAAGAGGTGGGGCAATACAGAGATGTTTGGGGCTACATCAAGGGGGAGAGATAAAATAAGGGAGGCAGGCAAGAGCTTGAGGGCTCATGTGAGCAAGCATATAGCACTTGCCCTGCACCAGACAGCTCTGCCAGTCCAACCTTTTTGGAACTCTAATACTTCCATTGTAATCTAGTTGCTCTTCACATGAGGCACTATATATGATCAAGATATGGGTGGGGGGGGGATAACGGAAATAAAAGTTTATTTTCATACCATGGAGATTCAGGGATATGAGTTCATTATCCAGGCCCCCCTCCATATGCAATGGAGGGGAGGCCTGAACACAAGAATATGGGGTGGGGGGGAATAACACTGAGTGGATTGGGGGGCATGGCTTATATGTTACAAAGAAGGGTTGCAGGGAGGCAAAGACAGCTGGCTCAGTATGCAAATTACAGTGTACAAGTGACGAAATGAATATTAATTCCTAGTATACCTCCTTCCTAGTTAAACAAAACAAAACCCAAAATACATTAACAGTTAAGGTTGCTTGGTGGCATGTTGTTCCTTTGCAGAATATGGAGTTTTGCAAAACTCAAAACATTCTGAAAACTAGGAAATGTCGTGCATTGATCCATTCCTCTATCCAAGAATGCTCCCCCAAAGACACTTGCAGCTCTTTAATTCCTAGTATACCTCCTTCCTAGTTAAACAAAACAAAACCCAAAATACATTAACAGTTAAGGTTGCTTGGTGGCATGTTGTTCCTTTGCAGAATATGGAGTTTTGCAAAACTCAAAACATTCTGAAAACTAGGAAATGTCGTGCATTGATCCATTCCTCTATCCAAGAATGCTCCCCCAAAGACACTTGCAGCTCTAGTTT